TCTGCCATATAATGTTTAACGCGGAATAAACAATTTTAATTTAAATCTAAATATTTACATAATTTATACTATAAATATATTAAAGTCAGAAAATAGAGAATAATTTATAATTTATAAGCATACAATTTATTGAATATTATAGCAGCATACAAAATTTTTTTCTTTTAATTTTCCGTATTCGAGATTAAGTAACAATAGTTCTTGTATAAATGTAAAATACAATTCCAATAATAATTTCTCCTCATTTAACTAAGCATTTAACTAACACCTTCAACAATTTAGTTAATAATTATCCGCCCATTATAAATCCAACCTAATTTTCATGTAATTTTCTAGAATTTACTGTAATATCATTGTAAAAATTTGTGTACCCCATATAGTATTTAAAATTTTTATACTTATATAATTATATTATGATATATACCTATATAATTATATGAAGATGAAAAAAATATTTGTGGTATATTATGTAAAAATTTAAAATTTATAAAAGGAAATAGAAAACTGAGGCAATAAGAGAAGAAAAAAAAACAACGTTTTATTCTTGTTAAGAAGTTGTTGAAAGATATTTTATTCATGTTTTATGCTTTCTTTTTTACAATAGTCATCATCATCATCGTCATCATCATAAAGTTATCATCTAATAATTTATGTAATACGCATATTTACTCCATTGTAAAGTGTAACCACCTAAATTATATATACAACAAAAAAAATGAAAAGAAAATCAAGAGACTTGAAGAAATTTCAATAAAACCACCATTTCTATGGTTTTAAAATAAAGAAAAAAAGGGCCATTTAAAAGAGAAAAAAAAAATTATTTTTTTTTTTATCGAGTCTTTTAAATGTAGAGTATAGAAAAATATTTTAAAGAATTACAAAACAATATTGTGGTAATTTCCTTAAAAGATAAAATATTGTTAATGTGGTTTTTTTCGAGTTATTTTTCCAAAAACAAAAATTTCCTTATTTATTGTGTCTTCTGTAGTATAACAATAATGACGAACAAAAACCAAAAAAAAAATATTCTAGTTATAGCAAATGAATCACCATAAATTTTTGTGTTTTTAAATGAAAATTTATAGGAGAAAATTTATTATGCTCATACATATTAAATTAATATTATAATTTATGGATTTGAACATTGAAATTATTTTAATAACATTAAATATAACATTAACAATAGCATTAAAAATAATATATACTTATGTATAATATTAAAATATTTTTTAACCTAATAAAATTAAAGAATGACAAACAATTGACTATATAACACGGTTTTTAATTATATAGAATAAATATAACAAAATTTCAAAAGGATTGCTAAATAGATTTTCCAGAATCAGATATTCCTTATATATATAACACAAGCAATATTATATATTAATGATTAATGTTTTATAGTTGTTTTTTTTTGAGTATTTTGGGTGTTTGTTAACACATTCTTTGTTTTATAACCTAAAAAATTAAATACAACAAATTTTGGCCTTTTGATTAAATTTATAGCTTACTATAATGTTATTAACATCAACTCATGTTTGGGAATTTTACTAAATTTGGCACTACTCACACAAATCATATTTAAGTTAGTTTATAGGGAAAACATACCAGTAATTATATAATATACAAATACTTCGCTCTAGAAGAATCTAGAATAATTCTTATATTATATATCGCCCAAACTTAACTAGTCTAGTATTAATAAATAGAAAGGAATATTTGGGATATATTTAGGATATATATCCCACAATTCAAAAGATTCGAAAATGTTTAAAGATTTCGAAAATTGACTACTAAAGGTATGGGCTATATGGTGAACTTTGTAATATAAAATGAAATAAAAATTCAAAGATTTAAAGAATATTTTATTTCAAAATTTAGATTTATTCAAAATACTGTAAAAATTTAAAAAATTTCCTTAAAAATATTGCAAATTTTGTTATTTAATTTGAAATAAATTTTACAGAATAGCTTTTCAATAAGTGCATACAATATCCTTGCTGTTAAAACACTAACACACATATATAAAATTCAAATTATATACAAATCCTTTTTCTTCTGATTCCATTAAAAGCAATTACGATCATAATATATTAAGGATTAAATTACTAATGTCTTTTTAGTCACTATCAATTTATTGGAAGAAAAAACGTAATTTTTCTGATGAAATTTTTTATTTTAATAAATAATATATCAAGGATATGCGTGTAATTCAATAACTTTTTTCCTTTATAATATTCAGTAGACAAAAACAAAATAAGAAAATATAAAAATTTCAAAGAGAGAAAATTGCTTTCATGTCCTTATTACAGTTAAAGTTATTTTTAAAGAAAAAAGTCATTTTATGTTAAGGTTAATCACCTTTTTTTTATATTACACTTTCATTGAATTTACTATAGCTCCAAAAGAAATTTTTGTCCTAACACAATAAGCATATAATAAATATAAATTTTAAAATAGAAAAAGTATAAAATTACAAAATGTTAAATGTAATTTATATTAAAAATTAAATATAAGAAAACAAGAAAAAAAAAATATAAAATTCAAAAAGGACAATGAATTTAAAATTGAAATTGATAGTAATAAATTTGAGAATGACTAAAAAGAGAAACCAAGGCAAAACTCAAAAGAGAAACAAACAGAAAAAAATCAATTATAAAAAAAAAATTTAAGGATATTGAAATGAAAAATCATTTGAAACTCTTTTCAAATAAATTATTGGTCCTTGTTATCTCATTTATGTATGCTTGCATATAATAGAATTTTTAGTCCTATACAATTTTGTTCTTATTTTTTCCTGTAATTTTTAAATGATTCATCATCATTTTTGTTTTTGAATATTTTTGTAATTAAAATTTAATTTTGTATTTGAATTGAAAAGGATTTTGGTACTTTATTTATTTAAAAATTGAAAAAAAAAATTATTTGTTTCTTGTGTTTTTGTTGTTAATTGGTCTATAAAATATTCATTTTGTTTTCCTACATTGTATGAATTTTAAATGCTGATAAATTTCGTATGGGTTAAAGATTATTTTAATTATGCATACAAAACATCAATACATACAGTTTTTTTTTTAGTATAAATTGTACACAATTCAAATGATTAATTGGAAATTTTTCTAAAGAAAAAAATTTATGGTTAAAGGGGCACAGAATTTTTGTTTTCATTTCGAGATTTGAATAATATAGTAGACATACAATAATTTCAATTAAACAATTTGCTATGTAATCAAAAAGTGAATAAAATTGTATAAAAAATAATTATTCGAAACGGGAATGGTAAATTTTTAAAATAAAATTTTATAAAATAATTATTAATAATTATAATAATTTTAAAAATGGCATAAAATTGCAAAAATTTTTTTTTTGAAATCCTTTATTATTTCACTAGTAAAGCTACCGTTGTGACGGTGTCACTAAAAAGTCACTCGAAAAATCACTCGAAAAAGTCACTCAAAAAATTACTTCAAAAAATCCTTTAAGAAAGGCACTCAAAAAATCACTCAAAAAAATCTCCCAAAAATGTCACTCAAAAAATTCACTCAAAAAAATCATTCAAAAAAATCATTCAAAAAAGTCACTCAAAGAGTTGCTTCTAAAAGTCCAGACCCCAGATTTTTACGTTAAGCCGTTTTCATATTAGAGCCATTCAAAAAAGTCATCAAGAATGTGAACGACCCACAAACTAACTAACATACAACATTGAGCTATTATCATAATATATTGCTGTAAGGAACATTAATTTGTATATTTGAAGTAAAATTTTCTCTGAGCATACGAGTATATAAATTATTTTTCAATTCACCATTTAAATTAATATAAAATTTATTATTAATTTATTTAATTCAAATTATTTTTTAAATCATGTAATTCCGAAATCTTAACAGAATATAATTAATGTAGATATTCATGAGAAAGCTGTTATTATGAGGTTTCCAAATTATATTTAAAAATGCGTCTGCATTACACAGGCACGGAGTTATACTTAAAATTTAAAAAAAAAAATCAATCGAGATTGACTCTAAACCCCTATAACCCCCGAACCAGTTGAGCTGTGAACATCGTCTCCGTACAAAAATTTTGTGTATATACTCATGGGGGCCTTTATATAATGGTATATAGGCAGTTTAGTTTAATACGAGACATCATATATAGTCTGATTAATTTTAAACAATACGCCTCCTTTTATATAATTTGGAAGTTATGGACGGAAAATAATTCTGAAAAACTACATCTAATGGAATTTACATTTTATATTTAATATAAGAATAAAATTTTGCTTTGTCCTCAAATATCATAAAACATAAGGCAAACAATATAAAATAAAAAATTCGAAATTTCGAAATTTCATTATTTTTCTCACTAAATTTTATTTTATTATTCTAACACATTAATACACGCAAACACACACAATAATCTCATTCATTCATTAAACCAACTTTTTAAAGGAATTTTAAGGAATTCTTTAAATTCCATTTTTTAGTTCAAATAAGCAAAAAGTTTTTTATTTTTTTATTATTATAATGTCCTTTTTTTTAATGTCTATAAGAATTCTAAATTCTATATGATCCAGGACAATCTTTCATTTCTAATTTGTTCATTTTCCTTGTTCTCTTTAAAAAAATATACTTTTTTTATACTTTGTTTTTTTTCTTCTTTTGGATGTTTTAAAAATTCTCTTAGTTCTCTGTTGGACTAACAAAATTTAATTAAAGAAAAAAATTTTTTGTTTTATTTTTTTTTTATGAATGCCGTCGAGACCAACGACCAACACAAAAGAACGCAAACACACACAATAAAAAAAGGGAAAATAAGGATTTCAAAAATTGACAAAAAAATAAATTTTATATAATTTAAATCAGAAAGGAAAAGTTTGAACAAAAAAAAAAAACAAAATAAAAGAAGGACATTTTTTGTATAATAATAAAGAAGAAGGAGAAGGAATCCTTGCAAAAACAAAATAATAAAAAAACGAACATAAATTCAAAATGAAAACTTACATGTTCTGATAAAGGACTCGGTGCTATAACTGCCCAATTATCTGGTAATGTTTCGGCCAAGCATGGATCAAAACTGGACGGTCGTTTTTTTACAAAATCGATTGGCAGGCTGTAGTCATCACAGACGGATATCTAAAAATAACATAAAGAAAATAAAATATTATAGTAAAAAATGTCGGAATATAATTTATTTTTGAAAATAAAAAAAGGATAATTAATTTTATTAAAAATTTATTTTATATTACAATGTAATGCGTGTATATAGTGTTGGATATAGGTTTATGTGGTAGGTGACAAAGAGTGACAATAATTATAATAAGCTTTATGTTGTGTCATTGCTATCATTTCAGGATAAACTTCAATATCCTTTTTTGTTTCTTTTTTGCCCAGATAATTATTATCTTTAATCTACTTAGGATAGATTATAAATTAAAATAAAATTTTTTATAATAGTAGGATTAATGATCTTATATAATTAAATTGAGAAGAATGTCATTTTAATTTCCTATAATCATTAACGTAGGGTATAATGAACAGAAAGGATTCAGTTTTGTTAATATTTTTTTTTTCATTGATATTAAAAAATTATTTTATAATCAAAGAATCATAATTTAATTAAAGATATTAAAAAATATAGCAATTATAATAATATTTAAATTATTTTAATGGACTGTTAATGAAATAACAAGAAAAAATCTGTTAATAATTAAATGAAGAAACATTTAAAAAGTTTTTATATTGAAAAGTTTTTTTTATTTGGTGAAATTAGCCCATCTGTCTGATTGCATGTTCGCCCAAATAAATTTTGATTTAAAAATAACATTTAATATTTTCCTATATCATTATAAATTATTTGTTTTTAATTAATATAATTAATTTATTTCGATAAATGTCCTGTTTTTTATTCAAATTCAAATTTCATTTAAGCTAAATAATAAGTACTCTATCTGTAGCATCTTTAAGAAAATCATTTAAGAGTCAGCTTTTCAACGAGACTAATATTTGATCATATTTAATTTCTTTTTCTTTCGAAAAGATTCCAAATTATTTCGAAAATTTCAACTTCGAAGACAAATTTTCCGAATAAAATTTGAATAACTCAAAGAGTCCTTTTCAAAATGACGGACGTGTAGCATGAAATTATTCGCATTACGTTTGGAACAGAAAAAGTTCGTTTTCAGGCAATATTTTCCAGGTTATTTCAACTAAATCACCTGAATGATGAATTAAACATCTCATCAAAATTCATTTTAATAGGTTCAGTAGTTAATTAAAGAACATATATACGCACACTCGCCAAATTGTTATTTTGGTATTGTAAATGATTAAATAATTTTGTTTAGTCTTTTGTTATTTATGCTGTAGGTTAAATGTTTGAATGAGAGTATAAATATTACAAGTACTTAAATTAATAGAAAATTTTGTTTAAACTAAAAACAAGGGGAGAATCAGGAATCAGTAAAATTATTCGAACACCTTGAGAAGAATAAATTTTAAATAGTTTATCGCTATTGAATGAATAATTTTCAGAAATATTTATTAAATTTTATTAAATTTTTCCATAAAATAAATTGATATTTTCACTAAAACACAAAAAACAAACATATTATGTCAAACATTTGTGATAAAGTCAAAAATGATAGTTAAATTTTGATTTACTATGTAAAATATATTGTTTACCTTTACATTAAATTATGCACTTTATATGTATATATTAAAATATTCACCACAAACAGAGTTAATCAATTTATTGTATAATTGTTATTCCCCCCTATGTGGTATAAATTTTTTATATGGTAAAATACCATATATAATTTCGCTTTAGGTAATAAACCATATAAATTAATTCTCTTTCAATATTTAATAATAATTTTTTCTCTTTTATTTTATTTTTGAGCTATGAGCTATATACTAATAAATTTTTATGGTTGAATATAAATTTCATGTCGCAAATTTAAGAGTCATCAAAGTAAAAGTTTACTGGAACATGATAAAAATTTTTCATAATTAAGTTGAATTATTTCTTCTTTTTTGTGAAAATTATTCGAGCGTTACATAAACTCTTATATACATATATACAATAATAATTATTTCCATTTTCAAATACATATATATATATATTATATACATTGAAAGTGATAACCCTATGTAAAAATATTACATATTTTGTGGTATGTGTTTACATGAATTTTAACAGATAAAACGAGTTGTAACGAGCGCCCCTATCGGAAAAGCCAAAATCTTATATAAAGGATAGTGATAATAAAAAATATGATAAAAATTTAGAAAATGAAAGCAAAAAAAAATCAAAAGCAAAGTTAAATTAATAGTAAAAAAAAAAATAAAAAAAAAAAAATTTTGTCATTCTTGTCTGTTTTTGACACTTTTATATAACAAATTATACGAGTATATACAAATGCGATATATACATAGATATTGTATATCTGTGCATCCTTTTCATTGTTCTTCCTTTGTTAGTATACGCCCCAAATATAAAGAAATGTTTTCGTTTTATTCAACGTTCCATTAATTTTAATATTAACGGTAGTGACTTTTGGTCTTCAGACTTCACATAGTTATTATCGCAATTATAATTATTATCACAATAGTGAACAATTATTATGTCATACTAAAAACAAACTGTATATAACTGATAATAAACTATTATTTAACAGAATGAAGGCTCTGCACTTACTGATCAAAAAATCAGTTGAACCCTATGATGAAAGGAAATACGTCATTTTCTCGGTTAAAAATTCATATTTTATGCCAAATTTATTTGGCTTATTATTTACTCATTTTCTAAAATTTTTGTTCGTATAATGCCTAGTATAACATAGGCAAATTAATTATATTTATTTTGAGCATTATGTTCGCTATTCACTTAGCAATCCGAACTTGATAATCATGTATATATTAGAAGATTGAGTAGGGTTGAATGTGTTGAGTAGGTTTTGGAGTTTGGTTACAAGCTACTTAATAATTATATTTCAAGATTTTAAATGTTAAAATTAAAAATTTCTTAAGTAGAGAAATATTCATTAAATTAAAATAATTTTAGTCTTATATGTTTAAAATTTTCTATTGTCAAATTTTCAGAATTGAAATTTTCTAAATGTAATTGCAATTTAATTTTATTATTACCCGAAACCGAAGTGAGTAATAACATAACCAACATAACAACTGAAATGAAATATTTTTTGGTTTCTTAAAATTAAGTTGCAATTCCAGCTCGCATTTGAATTTTCACCAATATTATGGATTTTTGACATTGTAACATAACAGGTTTCAATAATTATGGTTAAATGATTATTATTTTATACAATTAAAAATATTTTAATATAATATTAAAAGTCATCTACAGTTTGTTCTTAATGTTATAACGAAATTTTGTAATATTAATTTTCTTTCTGCTCATAATGCACTGCTATGTGTAAAAAATAAATCGTTTCAGTCATAATTCTCCTTTTTTATTTTCTGTTTTTTCTTTATTAAAATTCCTTTGTATATTGTCATATATACTTGAGATCAAAGTAGAAATATATATGAATATGGTGTGAGTATTAAAATAATATTTTTATTTACAATTATCAGCAGGAATGTTGAAATTTGTACATATGTATGTATATGTGCTTGTGTATGCGTGTTTTTGTATTAAGTGAAAGACTTGTACTTCAAAGTGAAGAATGTGAAAAAAGTCCTTTTTGAAAATTTTTTTTTTTCGGTTTGGTTTTTTCTTAAATTGTTGTGATTATTAATAGCCAATTCATAAGTATTAAGAGTATGTATAAGAATATAATGTGTACGTATGTATGTATAGAAAGGAATGTGTATAAAAGGGGAGGAAAAAAAATTATTGTGAAAAATTTTTTTACTATTTTCTTATTTTTGTTTTTAAATTTTCCTTTATAAATTTGTTTTTTTTTTATAATCGAATACCAACGCAAGAGATGAAGAATGAAAAAAATACAAAATTCATTTCCAGATTTGTTTCTTCTTCTCTTTTATGTTTGCGATATAAAAAAATAAAAAAAAAACAGAAAAAAAAACGGATGAAGGAAAAATTATTAACTAACTTTTGCTTTCATATTATTAACCATTACCACCGTCACTACTATAACAGCAATCACCACTATCGCCGTCTTTACTTTTTAGTTTACCACCATCAACTATTTTTGCCCATTACCATCACTATCACTACATTTTTTTTCTTCTTTTTCTTATTTTTTTGGTATGAATTTAACGCTAAATAAAATTTGAATTTTTAGAATGAAAAGTGAAAGTTTAATTTGAAAACAAGAACAATAACAACAAGAAAAAGAGGGAAAAATGAGTTATTAAGGATTTTTTATTAAATTGGAAAAAATTAAAAGCGAAAATAGAGAAAATTAGTTTTTCTTTCTTTTGTTTTCCTTGGGAATTATTTTAAAAGCTTTTCACTTTATAATCTATTTTTCTTTCAGTAAAATTATTTTCTTTTTATATTATAAAATTTAATAATAATTAAATTGTGCTGAAGAATAAAACGGGAAGAAGTCTAAGGGAAGGAAATATTATTTTGAATGGAAAATTGCATACTTTTAGGGGTGGAATGCTCAATGCTCAAATAAAATTTCTTCGTTATGCTTTTAATTTAAAAATTGCATATTATTCGGGGTAGTATGTATTTTCATATTACTTACAAATTTTCAGTTACTTCTTAATTATATAGAAGATTTAATAGTTTTCTGATTAATTAATTAATTAATTAATTAATAAAATTAATTTAATTAATTTTATATTTTAAGAGAATTGAAGTAAAAGCGGGAGAATTGAATATTATAAAAAATGTTATAATATTTTGTCCAGTTTGAAATAGATAAAATAATAGATATCTACTTCTAATGTTGCTAATTTCTTCTCGAACTTACAAATTGATACAGGGGTTCTAAAATACCCAAATTCCAAAATTGCTATATTAACATAAAACAATTTTGAAAATCATTCCTGTTTATTATGAATCTGGTTTTAGAGTGAGAAAGACCGGGTTAAAATATGTTTACTCCCACCAAGAAGGGCAATTCTAACAAAATATAAAATACCATCTTTCTCCCATTCGCGTCTTCTCAAATATAAATAGCGAGATTTACGGT